AAAAGCCTGTGGAGAGCATTTATTCAAGAAATATGAAAAATCTCAGTAAAATAGACTGTGTCAGGTTTTGACTTACCTGTTCTCTGCCCACCCCAGTTTTGTGGCAGCCTTGAAAACCAAGACCACATCATAAAAGAAAATGAGCAGCCTGGCAGTTGGGTGGGGGGGATGCCGTGTGTGTGTGTGTGTGTGTGTGTATGTGTGTGTGTGTGTGTGTGTGTGTGTGTGTGTGAGAGAGAGAGAGTGGCATGGGTGTGTATGTGTGAGTGACTAGGGGCCATCCAAAGCCTCATTCCTAGAGCGCTGTGCAGAGCTGACCTGTCCAGTGGCTCCCTGGAAGACTAATCCTAAACCTGACTCAGAGCTCGCACCATGAGAATAGATTTTTCCCTGAGGGTGTTTATGGAAAACAATCAGAAGCAACTATTTAACATCACAGGTATCCAACATGTTGGTAACAACTGTGGCAAGCAACAGGCTAACCAAAAACATGTAGGAGAAGGTGGAGAGGGAGATGTTTCCAGACAACTGGCACAGGCTCCTGGGAGCTGGAGAGGCGCTGTGCAGTGCAGGCTACTGCGAGCAGTCCTCCCTTCTAAGAACTACCAATGATAGTCAGGCTGGGAGTAAGTGATCCCAGACAGTAACTAAAATTTACATACACATAAAGGTAATTATAAAAGACAGTGTAAATGCAGTTTCTGCTCCTTTCTTTTCAAAAGCAACTGTATAAAAGAACACCGCCGCCTGGCCCTCCTGGTGGTGCAGCAGGTTAAAGCACAGCATTGAGAAGCTAAAGCCACTTCCGCATGAGTTCGATTCCCGCCTGCCCCGGAGGTGACCACATGGCGCAGCAGATCTCTCCTGACCCGCCCACTGCTCCCCTCAGCAGTGTACTTCGTCGATCTGCCTGTTCTGTTCCCCACTCTGTCTCTGATGAAGCCTCTCACCACCCCTGAGCCTCTGGCCTGTACCACCCCAGTTCTGTACGCACAAATAAATAAATCTAAAAAAAAAAAAGAACACCGCCTAACTGTAGTGATGGGCCTGCGATATAACACACAGAATAGTAATATATCTGCCAGTAACAAAGTAGGCAAATGGCAGTGAAGATATACTAAAGAAATAGCACTACATGGGAACCCAAATCCACAGGAATAAAGAGAACCAGCAGTAGTAAACAAATAAGTTACTATGACAAATACTATAAAATGTGTATGCTTGCATTCCTTCTCTAAGCTTCTTAAAAAAAAAAAAACCTGTATATGTAGAAATACAGCAATATACTAATGAGTTACCACCTACAACAAAAGTGTACAACAGTAACACCACCAAAAAAAAAAAAAAGGCTAGAATTTACAGAAGTAACAATTCTCTATCTTCTGTCTTCTGGAATTAGTTGATATAAATCAAAAGTAGAGTCTGATAAGTTAAGATGAACAATATATATTAATATACACACAATGAACATTACACATTTACAAAAAGGAATGAAGTTCTGACACATACTCCAGCATGGATGAACCTTAGAAACAATGTGCTAAGTGGAGAAACACTTAGGTAAATACTGATGATTCTACTTATATGAAACACATGCATACGCACATTCAGAGATAAAATGTAGATTAGTGGTTGATGGGGGGATTATTGCTTAGTGGTACAGCTGGAAATAGATAGTGGGGTGGTTTCACAACATTGTAACTGTGATGCCAGTAAACTACCCTCAAGGGAGCTAATATGGCTGTGTCCATGTTATACAGATTTTACCATAATATTATCAAAAGTTGTATGTTACTATTAAAAGTAACTTTAAAAATAGTGAGAAAAGCATTAAACAACCTTAACATATTACATTAGAAAAGATTTATTTAATATAAAAGAAAGCAAAAAAAGAAGAGAATGCGGAATAGAAGGAATAAGACCACGTGGAAACATACCAAACAGGCAGTTACAAGAAAGTAAACTGCAGACTGTGAGGCCGTGTCACATGAACACAGACAAAAACCTCAGCACAGCATCAGCAAATCAAATGCAACAATACATACAAGGAATTGCACACCACGACTAGTGGAATTTATTCCAGCTATACAAGGCTAGTTCAATATCCCAAAGTCAATGTTTCTGCCATAAGAACAGACTAAGGAAGAAAAAGCCTACGATTATATCACTTCGTGCAGAAAAAAAATTGACAAAATTAAACACCCTTCTTACCCAAAAAAGCAAGACTTAAAATAAAGCTGGGAGCAGTGGAGACTAAAAAATACAGACTTGATGGTGAGAAACTGGATCCTACCCCTTGGAAACATGAAATAAATAAGAACATTAAAGAAAGTATTTAATAAGTAAATAAAGAAAAATATTAACATATTAAAACAATACCACTACAAACTAACAGAATGACTAAAATTTTTAAAAACTGACACTACTGAAAGCTGACAAAGATGGGAAGCAACAGAAACATTCATTCAAAGGCACAGCCACTTTGGAAGACAGTTTGCTAGCTTCTTACAGAGCTAACTGTACTTTTACCAGATAATCCAAAACTACACACGTCGGTATTTATCCAACTGTTGAAAACTTACGTTCCTACATACCAGCATATGAATGTTGATAGCAGTTTTACTCACAACAAGAAAACTACAAGCAATCAAATGTCCTTCAAGAGGTGAATGAATAAACACACTGCAGTGTATTAGTACAACAGAATGTTATTCAGCAATAAAAGGAAGTGAATTATCAGCCCATGGTTCTAATTTATATGACATTCTGGAAAAGGCAAAACCACAGCAACAAAGTGATCATGCTGGCCAGGAGTTTGGGAAGAAGGGGGCCGGATGGCTAGGTGAAGCACAAGGGGCTTTGGGGGAAGAAAAACTATTCCATATGATACTGTTAAATTATGCGTGTCAAAAGCTGTAGAACCTTATAGCAAAAAGAGTAAATCCTGGTCTATGCACTTTAAGACAAAAATCATTTGGGAGGTGGAAGGATTCCAGGGAAAACATACAGAGTGTGACAAGAAACTCTAACTGTATCACAAATGCAGGAAACAGCCACACTGAAGGGGATGGGTGATAAAGGCGTGAAGCTAAGTAACTCCAGGAGTTCGTGGCCCTGCAAGACCAAAAGAAAAGGAACACACAGCTGTTGATCAAGTTCTCTCCCGCGGAGCACTGTCTGATGTTCCCGCTGTCTCTGTATGCTGAATCTACACAACTGAGTACAGGGATGCAAAAGGTGGGAGTTAGGTTTCTCACTGTTTGAGTGAAAATTACAAATAAGGGAGGCATCTAGAACCATCCATGTGGTGAAAACTAGCATTGCCGACATCAGTAAATCCTGTTTTGCTTATACCCGGATGGCTATACAGAAAAGTACTTAGAGCTGTGTGCACACATGAAGGGTTACTGTTCACACCTGTATTCTTTTGCTGCCTACTGAGAGAACCTAAAAGACAGCTGTAGCACACCTGTCATGCTCCCCCATCCTGAGAGCCTGAGAGCAGGGTATTCACAGAAACAGAGCAGTGGCCACAGTGCAGCAGGGTCGGAGACAAGACCTGGGGGAAGCAGTGGGCATCAGTGTACCAGGAACAGCTGGGAAGAGGGGGTCAGAAACGGCCCTTGCCTATCAGTAATAGTGCTGCACTCGAAAAACGGAAGGAAATGGCCACTGGCCTGGAGCCGCCATGCAGCCTAAGTTGGCAGAAATGAAGGCATCTCCAAGCAGACTTTTCTAAACTGACAGCTGGCGCTAGTATTTTCCCCCATGCCTCGTGTTCTAAAGGCATCAGGTGTAGAGCTCGTGAAGCGTGAAAACCCGGGTAGGGTGTGTGAAGGGCCCCTGCACAGGGAGGTGAAGAGCATTTTGGGTACTTAGAAGCCAGCATAGCATGTGGCCACCAGACCTGAGGTCCACTGAGACTGGGCCCTTGACAGCCCAGAAAAGGAAACTTCTGGATGCCCTGGAATGACTTCCTGAGCCCAGGGCCATGGACCAGCTGCCCCATTTAGGAAAGGGGATGCATCCCACCGGGTGGGGCCTGCAGAGGATGCCGATTTGTCAGGAAGGAGGAAGCCACAGTGATAAAAGCGCTGGGCCAGCCAGAAACCAAAGAACCGGGATCACAAGACAAACTGCTCTACTGGCCAGAGGCCTTCAGGCTGCTAGCCTGCCTAAGCCTCAGTTTCTTCTTCACAAACAAGTCACCCTACTTTTCCACCTGGTGGCCAGGGGGTCAAATGACACACAGAAATGCGAAGGCGGCTGGCCAGTGCGCGCTAGACCTGCGGTTCTCAAAGTGTGGTCCGAGGACACCTGGGCTTCTTGAGAGACCCTGAGTGTGAGGTTTAGTATCTGCATGTGAGAGCCCGGGGCTTCTTTGTGGTAACTTTGCAAACAGCTGGTCTGAGACTCCAGTTTTCCTTTATTCAAAGACGTTCAGACGTCTCAAACCATGCCAGTCTTCTATTTGGCGGGGTGCGAGTTATTTCTCATTAAAGATGTCGTTGTGTGCACAGGCAATGGGGCCATTACTTTTAAATGACAAAACATTGGCAAATTCGGTTTGCTTTTCAGGGTCCTCAATTTTCTGGCCTGGAAAGGGGTCCTGCGACAGACAGTTTGGGAACCGCGGTGCTGAGCAGAGGCGCGGAAGTTCTGGGGCGTGAGCGCGCGCCCTCACAGGCTGGTCCCAGGACCTCTCGCCTTCACGCGCGCTCACGGCTCCCACTTGCGGGAGAGGCTAGTTTTGTTCTGTGGGACTGACAGATCGCGGCTGTGTACCCTTTTCGCCGGCTCCAGCCACGGTCCTCAGAGAGGCACCGGCTGTGGGAACGACCCCCGCGGGGGCGGGCGACCTTGCCCGAGGTCGCGCCGGTGCTCCCGGGCGCACTGTGTTCCCGACCGGCCAGGTTTCCGACAGGGCGCGGGGAGGCGGCGCCGGACCCGCGGGGCGTGAGCCCGGGCGGGACGTCGAGGGGCTGGGGACCTGCACTCACAGCCTGGGCAGCATCGCCGCCGCTCCACACGCCACACGCCGCAGCACGCACAGCGCCATCTTGCCGACGTGCGCGCCACCACCACGTAGCTCCGCCCCGCAACGTTCTTGGCCACGCCCCTAAGCCCGTCAGGACCACGCCCCTTGGTCAGGGCCACGCCCCCTCAGTTCCTGCTCCGCTCCGGTTTCTCCACGCCCACCGGGTCGCTGCAAAAAAGGATGACATCTCACTCCTCAGTGTACCTGCCCTAACACCCGTGCCCCACCTCCCTATAATCTGAGAACTAGCGCGTAGTATTCTTATTAAAAATGCCCTGCGGGCCCTCCCTGGTGGCGCAGCGGGTTAAAACACAGCACTGAGAATCTGAAGCCACTTCCGCATGAGTTCGATTCCCGCCTGCCGCCTGCCCCGGAGGAGACCACATGGCGAGCCAGACCTCTCCTGACCCGCCCGCTGCTTCCCTCAGCAGTGTACTTCGTCAATCTGCCTGTTCTGCTCCCCACTCTGTCTCTGGTGAAGCCTCTCACCGCCCCTGAGCCTCTGGCCTGTACCCCAGTTCTGTATGAATAAATAAAATAAAAAAAAAAAAATCTTAAAAAAAAAAAAAAATGCCCTGCGCCTAATGATTTTAGGTCATAAACTATCTGTTGTTAGGTGCAGTTGTACCTTCGTTGACTTAAATACAGTTTCCGTTTTTTTCACATTCTGTTTGAAGAAATGGTAGCTGTGCCCATTCTTGCCAGGACAGGGTGGTTTTGTGGAGTTTCTTCACCAGATTGCTAGTGCATGGTTTTTAAGAACTGTTTTCTGGTGTTGGTATAATTTAAAATGAAGATTGCTTAACTTACCTATATAGCTTAGGTATTTATGGAGGATGAATTTCCAGATATGACAGAGAAAGGGACTTAGAGTTCCTCCTTTCATACTAGTCCAATCTGTCTTTACTCACAGCTTCTAAACTAAAAATAAAAATCCATGTTTATCCCAAACGACATTTAAAAAATAACAAATTTAGCAGGGTGAATAATTCTGAGACCTATTATCCTGTTCAGCAAAACAATCTGGTGGGGGTAAGAACCTGGCAGAGATCTGAGAAAGGACAGAAACCAGAAACATCACACCTCTAGGGCGTATTGGGAGTCTGTTTAGGGTGGTTTGGGGGGGGGGGAGTGTTAGAGTTATCAAGCAAAACAGCTAACAGTGGATGATTGATGGTGAGTACATGGCAAAGGATGGGGTTTACGTGTTCCTTGACTTTATGTATGTTGGAGAATATTCTTAAAAAAATTAAAAACAAAAATCTATTCAACTAATGCTTGCACAGAAAGAGCCAGAGGCAACTTTACCCAAAGCCAGAGGAGATTAAGCCCCCAGGCTCTGAAGTGCACTGGCCCCAGGCAAGACCCCACCAAGGCAATGACAGGCCATTTGTTTTTGTGAACTGTACAAAGGAGAGATATGTTAACGATCAGTGATTAAGACACTTTCTTTGAATGCCTCAACTTTCCTTTGCAAGGGAGCAAAAAAGCTACCACCCCACTGTTTTAAAAATGTTGATTTCAGGGAGGTGGGAGGTTGGGTAGAGTTTTTGTGAGAGACACTACAGGTATAAAGGAGAAGCTCTCTCCCTTAAAGGTAGCTCCTTCCCTCTCCCTGGAAACCTGATCTGCTTTTCTCTTTTCAGTGGAGAAGGTAGAACCTACATCTGCAGGTCTTTGTCTACTGTACCTCCCCCATAAACTCCCAAACTGACCTCCCTTGCTCTCGCTATGTAAGAAGGACACAAACCACGTGGGTGAGTCGGTCAGTCATGCTGGGTTTTCCCAGGTACACTGGAGGGACATATGTTGTTAAACTCCCCTGTTTTTTTCTCTTATTAATATGCTTGATGACTTTTGACCATTTGTCAGCCTAGAAACATCCAGGGGACTAGGGAACGATTTCCTTTGTGTCCTGCTCCTCTCCCTGAAACTCCCATTGTGTTGGATGACATTGGAGTAGCTGTAGTCACTCGGGGAGTTCAGCTAAGGAGAAATTGAGCTGGTATATATTTGGAGATATATATATGTATATATGTGGTATATATGGTATATATCTGTTTATGGGCTTGCAGTCCTCCATGTTTAGTTATTATTAGCCGCCCTAGTTTAGGGATGGCTTCCAGGAATACTACTGCCTGCTGTGATGCCCACCTGCATGCAGGTGCAAAGGGAGAAGTCATATTCCAGCAAGAATGTGCCCATAGGCCATCTGCACTGGATAGACGTGTGTGGCAGAAAAGAAACAGTTTGACATGTATGGAGCCCAAGACCATCTATGGAAAATTCTTCTAGTCACCAGCCATGGAAAACTGTAAACTGAGGGTTTGGTTCTGTGTTCCACACAGCAGCCCTCTCCTCTCTGAGGCACCTCCCAGCATCATGACATCATGATGGTCCTCAAGTGGAATGACATGCCCCACGGCGATTCTGGTAAGGAGCTCTGGAAGGCAGAAGTGAAAAGCAAATGGCATTTAAATAAAAAGGGGGTGTCAAGTGTGCAGCTGTTGATCTGTGGGCTCAAGGTGTTGACATGGGCAGGCAGGGCTAATTTCCTCCTCTTTGAGATAGATCTCACAGCCCTGCACTCACACTCACCCATTTTTCCCAGTTGAAAGGAACTTGTCAGTTACTGACATGACTCCTGGCTTGGAGAAGCTACTGAAGTCAGCTCTTGGTTGCACCCCCGGACATCATGCTCAGTGGTGTAAGCCAGGTGCAAGAAGGCAAACACCAGGTGAATCCACTTCTAGGAGGAACTTCTAAAGCGGCAGTTTGCAGACAGTGGAAAGTTCTGCAGAGTGGTGATGGCAGCCCAGGCGTTTGAAGGCACCGAATCCTATGGAACTGTAGACTCTCCATGATTAGAGTGGTAGCTTCTATGTTGTTAAAAGACTTAAAGAAGTAGCTGTCAGTCTAGTGAAAATGACAGGCAGGTGGCTGGTGGGCCGCGTGGTCCACTGGGTGTGTGAAAAGGAGTGACAGATGACCAAGAGGAGAGGGAGTTGCCCCCCCCTCCGGTTTTTCAAAGCTAAGCAAACAATCCAATTAACATCGGACAGATCAAGAGGATTGAGAATTAAGTTTGGGACCCTCCCTAGTGGTGCAGCAAGATAAATAGCAGCACTAGAAAGCCTCTCCAGCACAAGTTCTATCCCCCGCCAGGGAGTGACCCACATGGCACAGCAGACCTGTCCTGCCTCCCTGCTGCTCTCCTCAGCAGTGTATTTCCATAGATCTGCCTGTTCTGCTCCCACTCTGTCTACAGTGAGTCCTCTCACTGCCCCTACACCTCTGGCCTGTACCCCAGTTCTGTATGCATAAATAAAACTTTAAAAATAAAAATAAAATTACAGGCCCTCCCTGGTGGCGCAGCGGGTTAAAGCACAGCACTGAGAATCTAAAGCCACTTCCGATTGAGTTCGATTCCTGCCTGCCCCGGTGGTGACCACATGGCGTGGCAGACCTCTCCTGACCCGCCCGCTGCTCCCCTCAGCAGTGTGCTTCGTCGATCTGCCTGTTCTGCTCCCCACTCTGTCTCTAGTGAAGCCTCTCACCACCCCTGAGCCTCTGGCCTGTACCCCAGTTTCTGAATGTACAAATAAATAAAAATCTTTAAAAAAAATTTAAAAAAAATAAAATTACATATGGGTGTATGAGGAACCTATATAGCCGATTCCAGCCTGAGGCCATATATCATGACTACAGGACTGGAGAGGGTCCTGGGCTTTTAAGGAGACAGGAGGGGGACTCACCTGACAGGAGATGGTGAGTCACAGGACAGGGGCCAGGTCTCTGTGACTAGATGTTTGCTCTACTACATTAACAGTTTTCTTTCACAGAAACGTTATTCCTGATTCAAAACAATATCTGGGTAACACCCCAAATTTTCATTCTTCGAGGTAGTTAAGAAAGCGGTTTGAGTTTCTCACCCGCCTGCTGAGGGCTTTGACTGACCTCAGCTGGAGATAATCCACACACCCAAGTGATACATTTTAGGGAGGCCTGTTCTAATGCCGGGGCCAGGGGTCTTCCTGAATATGGGGGGAGGGGGGATGAATCCTTCCGCAGCAAGGAGGCCGAAAGGATGCTGCAATTCCTTCTTCTTTTTTTTTTTTTTAAGATTTATTTATTTGTGCATACAGAACTGGGGTGCAGGCCAGAGGCTCAGGGGCAGCGAAAGGCTTCATCAGAGACAGAGCGGGGAGCAGAACAGGCAGATCAACGAAGTACACTGCTGAGGGGAGCAGCGGGCGGGTCAGGAGAGGTCTGCCGCGCCATGTGGTCACCTCCGGGGCAGGCGGGAATCGAACTCATGCGGAAGCGGCTTTAGCTTCTCAGTGCTGTGCTTTAACCCGCTGCGCCACTAGGGAAGGCCTGCAATTCCTTCTTTGTGAGCGGATCAAGGAAACCAGAGGGGCATCGCAGAGAATGGAGTCACCAACGCGCATGTGGGAGGTGAGTCTGAAGGGTGTGGGAGATAGAACAAGCCAAGAGAATACAGTGAGTGGGGAAGGGAAATTTGAGGACCAGACGGTAAACCGCCCCAAAGCTCAGCTCCCAATCATTGGGGGAAAATGAATCTAAACGGAAACATGTTACATCTGTTGCCCCTTGGTCTTGTAATTCATGAAACTCAAATGAGGCACTGTGCTTTGTTACTTCTCCAAATTATGTTTATGGGGATAACGGGGTTGACAGCTTGGAATCTGCTCAGGGGTGACAGCGTCAACGCCACCCCGTGCACTTTCCCACCTGCGACCCCACCACACTCCCCCAGGGTCCACTGTGTGCGTTTGTCTGCATTCACCTTTGGCCAACAGTCAGGCCCGAGGAGGTCCTGGATAAAACTATTGAATCAACCCAGGTTTAACTGTCACCCTGTAACGCTTAAGTAACTTAAATAACCTAAAGTTTAAATAACCACAGAAAGCAGGAACAGGAAAATAAAGCTGCATTCGCCTTTTGTTAGAAGCGCCAGAAGCTTTTAGGACGCTCCGTTTCTCCTCCCTCT